CTCTTGCTATTTAAACAGAATATATATATTTTTTTTTTGTGTGTGTGGTTTTTGTCATGAAACGGCTTAATTGTGGCTCAGTAATATTGTGTTGAATATAAATAAGTCAGTAGTACACCAAAAAAGATGGTTAGACTGTCTCAAAAACATTTGTATGATGTTCAGGCTCAAGCTTGATGTAACTGATGTTACAAAACATGTTACAAAATGTTACATGTTACATCTATGTTACGTGTTACAAAACAGGCTTTTACGAACAGGAATTCATGCTTCGTTTTAAATATAGAGAAGATGAGGTCAGGGTGAGCGCCAAGTTTCACAAACGGTGCCCTTTCAATCCCTTTGACAGAAACTAGTGTTTTAGTCACTATGAAAACTAATTCACGATGAACAGCCCTTCTGTCCCTGCGATCAAGAACAGCCAAGTGTTTACGCTCAGGCACAGAAAGCCGACTCAAAAAGAAGACGGGGATTCATTCGTAGCGCAAATAGCAAAATCAAGTCAGCTCGAAATTTTCTGGTAAATTCCTTTGATACTCAAAGTCGGGCCTCTTCCTTATGATTGAACATTTCAGAATTTTTAAATTGATCCACAATATATACTTTGTCTTACAAAATCCTTAAAAAACAAAACAACAACAAGGAAACACATAATGTTTTATGTTTTTCTGACATAGCTTGAAGAACCACTGATTCCATTTCAGATTTAGAAACAGAATTATTCCAGAAAATCCTGACTAGTGCCTTCATGTCTTTGGCAAACTTTATGCTGGCTTTGGTGTTTTTCAGAGAGCCAAGGTTTCTCTCCCATCAAAGTTAAACGTCTGCACTTTCACATCGACACAACCGCCTGTTATAGGACCTGAGATAACATTTTAGGGTTTTTAGCTTACTGTGTTTTGCTTTCAATGTCTGCATAGGAAGCCAGACATTGGGATCTTCTCTGGTTTGAAAATCCTCCAGTTTTGCACTCCCCCCCCCCCCATATGTCTGAATGTCTGATTTTAATTTTTTAATTATTTTGGATCTATTTAAATCTAGTAAAAAGCTACTGCAGTCTTCTTTCTGAAGACCTTAGACAGCTCTTTTTTCAATCTTATCATGATGTTCGCTCTCAATTTAACAGTCAGCAGCACACCAGACTAAATCTCTAACGTTTAATTAAGGCAAACCTAAATCAAAATGCTGTTTTCATCATGTGTACCTGATGTGTTAAGCCTAACGTGTAATTTTAACCAGATTAAAGGGAAAGATATGTGCATTTGTCCTAATTTCTTCACCTGTTATTTCATCAGATTAGGCTGATGTTGATTAAAGTGTTTTTTTTTTTTTGTTTTTTTTTTTTGTCAGGTGGTTGATTCATATGTGTAAAGTTCTGCCTTTAGCTTTGTAGTGTTTTATTTTCTGGGTTACAGGCTGAGTTCTGGAGCATCAGCACCTTGAAACTGATGTTTGTGAGCAAACAGCCTAGCTTGTTGCCAACAGGACCAGTTCTCTTTTCATTCTGTAATAAACCCACATGAACCCAAACTGACCTTATGAGCTGGTCATAACAGCTGCTTGGCCCAGAAGTCTCACTCTGCGCAGGTGGGCGTTATCTGCACGTCTTTAATCGATTATGCTTTTTTTTTTTTTTAAGTTAATAAAGCGAGTTGTTGTAATGCCTTTTTCGCCCACGAGGTGGCAGCATCGCATCGGTTACGGGTGAGTTAGCGCGCTTGACCTGAAGAAAAGGTTTCAGCGTTGCAAACTTCACTTTGCCTCGGTGAGTTCTGCTTGTAAAGTCACTCGTTTTTTCCCCCCTTGCAAATATTTCTTACATTTGTCGTAGATATTTAGGTTCTGTTGAAGCCCTGATTTCTTTCTGCAGTCCTGCAGATTTGTGAATTTTCCACACATCATTTCTGCCTAATGTAGTTAAACATAAAAACTTAATATAGTCCACGCATTTTGTGTAACCACTTAGGGAGCATATTGTTCGACATAAGGTCTACGCTTGACTGTTTTTTTTTTTTTTTCCTTAATCAATTATTATGTTTCGAGGTTTCAGTTCGGTCAGAGCGTAATATCAACCAAGCCACTTGATTTACGACATCATCTGGCTGTACAGAAGGAGAAGGGGGGGCTGAAGCTCGCAAGCCTTTTCTCATAAATTGCTGTAAACACGTTCAGGTTTTAACGCTTTTTAAAAGCCCCCAACACGCGTCGCCGTGTTCCCTTTACGCACAGGCGCGTCAGCACATGGTTAAAATGGTGTGCACATATCTGCGTGGAGCTAATGATCAGGTCTATATTCTGCAAGGCTCGTGTGTGGCTGCCGTGCAGTTAGCGAATCGCTGCATTAACATGGCTGAAACATCGGGCCTGGCTTCTGACATCTCCGCTTTTGGACACCGAGACGGTGGTGTTTGGACTAACGGTGTCTGTGTCTGTGTGCGTGTGTGTTTGTGTTGATGCTCCGGGATCTAAATATAAAGCCACCCCAGAGGCCCGCAGTGTCCATGTCGACCCAGGCGGACAGATCCTGGCGAAGGCCGGGGCCGCAATCAAACAAATGTGCTGAAGGATGGCTCTGGACTTGTGTAGCGTGTGTGTGCGTCGGAAAGTGTGTGTGTGTGTGTGTGTGTGTGTGTGTGTGTGTGTGTGTGTGTGTGTGTGTGTGTCCGCGCGCGCGTGTGAATGTGCGAGAGAGAGACATTTTATCCCCCGTTGCTTTTATTTATCACTATTTATTGTATCGTGTAATGGTAGGGTGCTCACATTTCTCCTCCCACAGCAGGAGACATAAATAAACAGCTCCAGACTAGACAATGATGGGGTGATTGCTGGGGTTTGGTGTCTAACCTTGACCGTTTATGGCATTTATTGGTCAGACTCCGCAGAGCGTAGAGGCGGTATAGTCTGGAGAGAGGCGCAATATCGCCGCATCACTTGAGTTGCAAACACATAATTTTAAAGCGAACCCCACCGAAAAATTGATTTTTATTTCATTTGAACTGTTTCTTAGTCTGTCATCGCAAAGCGTGAATGCTGTCAGTAGTCTGTCTTTAGATTTTCATGATACAGTAGAAACTAATCTTACTGTTTTCATCTTTTAACATTTAGCTGAATTTAGCTGATGCATGACCTCCAGAATATTTCATTTGATGATTTAAAAGTGACTTTAATGCACTAATAAAGCAAACTGTCTGCGTTTTTATATTGATGGATTTTATTCTGACTTTTTGTGTAGAAAATTCATGAGTTTAGCAACTAAAATAAATTCCAACCTAACCACTAAAATGATCAAAATGGTTAAAGCCTTAAACTATATATATAATGGTATTGCCACGTTATGAAGAAACAAAGCTGGTTAATGAAATTTCAAAGATTTTAATCAACATTTATGTTAATCATTTACTCATTACCCCAACTAATTAAATTGAAATAACTGTCTGAGGGTTAAGAAGCCCAACTTTCTTCTTAACCCTGTGGAAGAGAAGCACATACTTTAGTGCTGTGCTGAAGTACAGCACTTTAGCATTTTTGCTGTACTGGTTAAGTGATACAACCAGTGAAAGACCTACACCTGTTCTAAAAGGTTAGTATTTCAACATTTTTCACATTTGTGTTTTGCCTACAAGCAACAGCTGCTTTGGGGTTAAAATGTTGATCTTGCGAGCTACTTTGGATCTAGCATTCTGTGTTGCTAAACTAGCTAATGCTACCGAACGAGTATTAAACTTTTTACATAAAAAATAAAATAAAACATGTATTGTTATATGTGAATGTATTGCTGACATCTACATCTAGAATATTCCATTGTTTTATCTACTGTCTGAGATTTTAGAAGTTCAGCTTTACGTTAGCATTAGCATTGTTGCTAAACTAGCTAAAGCTGGTTAAAAACTTGACAGTGACAGTCAGTTTATGAACCATAAGGGCTTTTATTAGTTCTTAATGTTCATTAGGTTGACATTCATTCATTATAACACTCATATAAAACATATCAGCCTCAATGGACACAACATAAAAAAACGGTAGACCATGTTGTGTAAAGTTCTAATCAAAATATTTGTGCAGGATGTACCACAACAAAGAGTTTTAACCATTATTAAAGACTACATTTTCAAGCAAAAATCCTTAATTAAAATTGAAATATTACAAAAAAAAAAATAAATTTGTTTTAGTCCAACAGCGAGAAATGATGACAAGAACAGCCTCTCTCTGCGCTCTGCTTTTAGCTGTGCAACCACTGTACAGTTTTACGTTTCTATGAGCATGCAAATTTTGTTAATCTTTTGTTTTTTTTTCAGCACTTTTTTTTTTAACACGGCCTAGCGCAGTTTAGCATGTAATCCTCATATTTATTCTGGATTTATAGCATACACTCCCTCAAGAATTGAAGTGCATCTAGTAAGATCTAATTTCAAACCAACCGACTGAGAAACAGAGAGAGAAAACTAAACTGTGCGCAGCGGTTGGCACGATGGAAACTTTCTTAAGCTCCTAATCCGCCAGAGTTGAGAACTTGGACTGCTCAGCACAGCTAATTGAAGCTCTAGTAGCAAAAATCAACATTGAATTTGAAGAAATGTTTCTGTTTTATTTTTTCAAAGAACATGCGTGCATAATGTCAGCTTCTCATCCTGCACTGACATCCCCCACTTAAACGCAATTGAATCTGGGCGCAAGTCTCTCGTCAACGCATGCGCTTCCCTCTAGAAAACAACGAGAGAAGAAAAAAAATAGTATTTTTTTTTTATACTCAGTTAAACATCTGTTCAATTATTATTATTATTATTTTTCTTGTCTATCCCTATGTGAGCTGAAGTGAAATCGCGGCAGGCAAAATATGTTCCAACAAGTTCCCCGGGTCTTCTCCTTACTTCAGACTCAGCGTGAGAACTGCTTAAATTGATGTCCTCCCCGTGAGTCGGTGTTTGATTTTTTTTTGTCGTGAACAGCTACATTAATTGCAAAGCGAGGAGGTGCACTCAAAAAAAAAAAAAAAACACTGCATGCATGCGCACCCACTGAGACGCACGCACTCGCGGCGGGGCGTGCGCGGGACGGCTTCGAGACTTAAGTGGCCGGGGCGGGACGTTGCGCCGGAGCGAGGCGGGGACAGGGCCGCGCTCCCGGTCGGGTTGGTGGACATGCTGATTGCCCGTGTCATTAACGGAGCTCGGGAGGGAGAGAGGCGTTCCCAGAGACCACGCCTCCTTCGCCTTACTATAGTTTCTCCTGTTTGGCATCCCAGAGATGGTCCGAAGTGATTCCTCAGGGGAAGCGAAAAGAGCGCAAATCACCCGAGCCGGAGCGGGCGCAGCCGAGCGGCGGATATACCCAGGACCGCCTTCTTAATTGCGCTAATCTTCCGTTTTATCCATCTGAGCCGGAAGGAGGACTTTTGCTTTGAAAGCGACGGAGCAAAGAGAGAAACCTGTTTCATCTTTCATCTTTGGCCCTGTTTGTTGCAAAAACTGACATTTTTATTTTATTTTTTTTGCTTGTTTATTTTTTGTTTTGCTTTTGTTTTTATCAGCTGTACCTTGATCCGAGGAGGAAAGGCGGGGGGGGGGGGACTGTCGCCGACTCAGCGCGCACTCTCATCCTGCGCTTCCCCCTTTCATCGCTCTCACGTCGCTCCTCTTCACAGCTGCTGCCTCCCATTCTTCCTCAACATGAGGAGCAGCTAACCCTGGATGCTGACAGCTCCCCTTTTTCTTCCCCGCATGTCGCATCTTTTGTTTACTTTGAGTGGAACGCGCGCGTCTAAACACCGACTGGAGTAGACCCACGCCACTTTGCTCCTGTGACAGCGCTATCAAAGGGAGACGCCGAGAGGCGAGGAGGGGAGGCAGAGAAGAGAGGGAAAAGGAGGATAGAGACAGAGGCGAGAGAGAGAGGACGAGAGAGAGAGAGAGAGAGAGAGAGAGAGAGCGTGAAGGTGCGTTTTGATGTTTGGCATCCACGAGAGCATCCAGAGGAGTGGGAGTAGTATGAAAGAGGAGCCCATGGTGGCCGGGATGAACGCGGTTCGGACATGGATGCAGGGCGCCGGAGTGCTGGACGCCAACACAGCCGCCCAGAGGTGAGCCCGAAGCGGACGAGGCGCTGCGCCGCGTTCCGCCGCTCTGGCACCACAGCGGGTGGAGAGAAAAGCGCGTTGTGATGTGCGGCGTTTAAAGACGGAGCGGCGGATTCACTTTGGGGGCAGAACGCGTCCCCAGAGGACGCAGTGGTGGGATAACCTCAGGTCCCGCTGGCATCTCAAGTTTTTTGTTTATTTATTTATTTTTCACCTCGGATTCAACTTGTTTCAGACGCGTTTCAGAACTGTTTGACAGACTTTCCAGCACGACGCGTTTAAATGCGGCTTTGGCCCCAAAGTTTTTAGTGTGCAAAAGAAAGAAGAAAAAAAAGTCAGCTCTGAGTTTGGGCTTGGACCTCTCAGTTCGCAGTGATTTATTCTTCTTCTTCTTATTATTATTTTTTATTTTTATTTGCGTTGAGATGAAGCAGCTTTCCTCGCGGGTTTTTAAAGTTTGCATGCATTGCGAGAATGCTATATTTTTGTTTGCTTTTAATCAAAATCTCGAAGTTTCTGGTGCGTATTTACAGCAGGCCTACATCTGTCTTGTCCAAATTATGACAGTCATAATTTAACATCGGTATATTTAACTTTTTTTTTTTCATTTTTGCTTGGATTCACATGTAACATCTCAATTTATTTGTTCGATTTTAATGAACTAATTAAATGAAATTGTGCACGTGTCACCTAACAATTTTAAGTTTGGATATAGATGGGGAATAAGCAACTGAATCAGTTAGCGTGTTAATTTGTATTTATTTATTTATTTATTTATTTTTTTGGTACTTTTATTAGATGTATTTCGTTTCACTGCCGTCCGTGTAGCCTTATTTTATTTTATTTTATTGCTGATTTTGCCTGTGTCCGCAGCGGAGTGGGTCTCGCTCGGGCGCACTTCGAGAAGCAGCCGCCCTCCAACCTCCGCAAGTCCAACTTCTTCCACTTCGTCCTGGCTTTGTACGACAGACAGGGTCAGCCGGTGGAAATAGAACGGACCACATTTGTCGACTTTGTGGAGAAAGAAAAGGTGAGTTTAGATTTTTTTTTAATTCTCTCACATATATATATATATATATATATATAAAGGTGATTAAAACATAATTGATATGTTGATGAACCGCTTAGAAATTAACCAACCGAAATAAGGAATGCGCGTCTGAGCCACTGATTCCTGACACGATGTATATGAAGCTGTTAAGTCAAAGTGATAAATTACCAGACGCGAGTTAACAAAGTAGGCAGACTCACACAGCAGGGATCATTTCTTCCTTGAAGGCTTCCCTGATGTGATTTTTAGCTGTGGCTTACGAGAGCACCACAGACCTCTTATTACTGCTGATTATGTTTTGATAAAATGTGAAGCAATTCCGCATTCGTCTTTGGATTTACTTTGTCCAATTTGGGACCTTTGGTTCTCAGTTTCCGCTCCTGGTGGATGGTTTTTTTTTTTTCTTTCTTGTTTTCCTCTTACAGCTTGAAGCTTCCAGATATCACCAGTCACAGTGTTTTCTAAACTTCAGTGTGGCATCAGTAAAACATCAGAATTAGTTTTTTACTTGGTGCGTCTACTACGGGTTTCACCCCGATCACAATAATTTGACGATTTTTTTTAAATTAAAATGTTAATTATTAATTAGCAGCTTTTATTAGTTTTGTATGTTATTAATAAGATCCAAATCTGCTGCTCATTTATTGAGTGACTTTACGGTTGCGCCGCGGCTCATTGAAAATAGAGAATAATGCAAATTCTGATTTAAGCAAATTTGGAAAAGAAAGAAAGAAACAATACAGATCCGGTATTTTGGTAGCTTTTATAAAAGTTATACGTTTTTTTCTTTTATTCAAAACACAAAACAACAAAAAAATCGAGCTCGTTTGTTTAATTTTTAAATTATATAACCAAATAAATCTGCATGCGTTATTAACTTTCCGCCAAATCAGTCTAAGCCTGTTTATTTATTTATTTCTATATTTATTTCTTTTCCCAAATCTTGTCAGTGTTTGCTTTTTGTAAAACGAACTGATTTGATTCTGATCAGAGTTTGAGCCTCGCCATTTTTTATCTAAAAATAATATCAGGCGGTGCTCCCGCTGTAAGGGTCCCAGGAGGAGAAGGAGGAGGAGGATAGGGTTTGCTCTGACCGCCTCTCTCTGTGTTCGCTTCTGTTTTTATAGGAAACGACGGGGGAAAAGACCAACAATGGCATTCATTATAGGCTTCAGCTCCTCTACAGTAACGGTGAGGGGTTTTTTTTGTTTGTTTTGCTTTGTTTTTATATATATATAGATATATATCTATATCTATATATATAGAGAGAGAGGGAGAAGTCAGAAAATCAAAACTTGTGAAACGTTAAAGATACATGTATTGGTTTTATTTACATTTATTTGTTTTGTTTGGTAAGACTTTTATTTATTTTATTTGCCTTCATTTATAAATATATTGCTTCTTAATTACTCATCTATTTAACTCAAAAATTAAAAAAAAGTGCTCTCTATTAATTCTGTTGTGTTGATGTAATAAATACCAAAAGGAAAAGAAAGAAATTATTTAAAACATAGAAAATCCCAAATCATTTTGATTCTCTCTTTTCTGCTATGGTTGTTTGTGTTGTATTTAGAAAATGAACGTTTTGGTTTCAGCCAAACTCACTGTTTTGCAGCTCAAACTGAAAGTTATTAAAGAGAGTTTGGAGTGTTTTTTTTTGTTTTGTTTTGTTTTGTTTTGTTTTATATTTTTTGAAAGAGCAAAGGAAACAGAATGACTATGTCTGAATGGGTCAAACTTTTCCCCATTTGAATCTTTTCTCTCTCTCTTTCTCTCTGAAGGAATCCGGACAGAGCAGGACTTATATGTTCGGCTCATTGACTCCATGACTAAACAGGTAGGAAGGAAATCCTGCATCAGGTTTTAGGAAAGAAACATAAGAAAAACAAAAAACAAAACAAAAATCTAGTTTATATGTCCTGCTGATCTGGATGTTTACCCCCCCACCCCCTGCCCACACATGCACACGCACGCAGAAACACACACACTCGCCCTGCCTAGCTGCAAAGTCTGTGTCTGGGACCCTTAACTTCAGTACAGGCCAGCCAGCTTGATAAACGACCTGTCTTACCTGTGGAACACATTTACAGAGGCCCAGAAAAAGTAGAGGACATGTGTCCTCATACTCCTCTCCACAACAGCCTGCAGGCGAGGATGGTGTGCATGTGCTTATTTTTTAGGAGGCGGTTTATGTATAAAATTGTGTGTGTGTGGTGTGTGTGAATATCTGTGCGAGGCGCAGACGTGGTTGTGTGTCAGTGTTGGAGAGAGACAGTGATGCATGCCAGCTCACTCTTTGAGGACCTTGACCCTCATTTCCTCAATGTGAAACAGAACAAACTATCCTGGAGTGTGTTGTTGCGGCCATTGCAATCACACACACACACACCCACACACACACACACACCCACACACACCAAACAAAAAAACAGAGTGGTTCACATGTTAGCTGGCGCACTCTGAGGGAATTCTTCGTGGGGCTGAATTAGACGGCGAGGAGTAAAGTAAAGCCCCCTCAACACTGTTTTCATATCAGGTCTTTTGTTTTGCCAATTCCGCCTCTAGTGCCATTAGGCTCGAAGAGAGTTTGTCTTAGAATGAAAAGAGTAGGAGGAGATGATGTGTGTGCATGCATGTTTATCAGCCCTGGTGTGTGTGTGTGTTGGTGGGTGTGGGGGGAGTTGTAGGGGTGATCAAGCCCTAGAGAGCATGTTGAGTGGGGTTGGTGGGGTAACCAGACTAGATTTTTGGACGGCGTACTGCATGGACCAGATGGTGCACTATACTCCAGTCTGGCAGTCCAACTGCTCACTGTACACTGCAAACACACACACGTGCAAGTACGAACGCATACGCGGCGCATACACAAGCACACGCACGCACACGCACACACACACACACATATGTGCGCACACAAACAATTTTCCCTCTTACCGTCTCTGTCGGAACACAGCGTTCCTGTTCGGGAGGACTGGATTCCCACGATACGTGCGTTTGCCAGATAGACAAACATTTCTACCAAAATGAAAGACACACACATCCCTCTGTTTTTTATTTGGCTTGAAGTCCTGGTTGACTTTTCATCAGCACAGCATGCAAAAAAAACATGAATTCACAATGATTGTTTTTTTTTTTTTTTTATCACATTCTGTCCTTGCAGCTTAGGCAAAGATTATGTTTGGTCTGGTTGCCTCACAGTGTCAAGGACCTATTTACTCTACAAAAAGGAGGAGAAAGGAATATTTTCTTCCACCGTTGCTTTGTTGAATTAAAGTCAAGATAGAATGCATCTGGTTCAAGAAACGAGGCAGATAAAGTGTGAAACTTCCAAAGAAAAATAGATAACACGGGAGGAAAGGAAAGGAAATGGAAAAGCACGGAGAGAAGCAGGGAAACGACACTGACAGAATAACAATAATATATTACAGGAAAACTATTCAATCGCATATTTGGCTCCCAATATAAATATTACCGACATGGACAAATATGTTGGAAACCCTCGTAGAGTCAAAATGTGTATTAATATTCTACTGCAGTAACATAATCTCACACTAAAAATAGAAAAAATTAGCGATGTGACCTGAAACAATAATCGCATCATTAGTGGTGCATCTGCTCATGAAGCTTTTTTGAACACCGTTTTCCAGTAGGACAGCTCCAAACTTTCTCCTCTCACAGATACAGAGAGAGGAGATCTTTGACTAGATCTAGATCATCCAGACTTTGTGGTCTTCTCTTTCGGCGTTTTATCTTCAGCTTCCTTCAAATGTTTTCTACAGGATGTAGGTGTGGGGGCTGAGACGGTGATGAAAGACGTCTGATTTTGTGTCTGGTGAAGCACTTCTGTGTTGATCTGGCCAAATGTCCTGAATCATTTAACTTGCCGAAACAATCAATAATGACCCATTTTCAGTTTTTTTTGTTTTTGTTTTTGTTTTGTTTTTTGACACAGGTCAGCAGATTCTTACTTAAAATGCACTCATATTTTAAACATTTCATAATCGAATGAACTCTAAAAAGGCTAACAAGACCTTTGAAAGAGAAACAGACCCACCGCATTACAGTATAATCTTTTGTGACAGGGTGCATTTGGGCTTTTCTACTTGTTTATCCTTCTTTTAACACCAAACCCTCCAAGACGAAACGTCTTCGACCAAATCACACATTTCCAGTTATACTTGCAGCTTCTGCTTATATTTGTGATGGTAGGACAAAGGATTGGTCTTTTTTCTGATATCAATAAACTATAACCATTAGTTGTGCTATAGTTGTCGTTACATGGTTGCTATGGAGACTTGACAGCATACCAAGTCAAGTCAGGTCAGATGTGGCAAATTGAAATATACAGATTATTTAATATTTCAATCAATTTATCACAGGGACGTACAAATAATCGTTTTAAAAATGTATTTCAAAGGAATTGTTTAGTTATGAAAAACTCACTGTGATCATTCTGCTACAATCATGATTTGTTTTCTCTTATTTAATAAACACATTCAATTTAAAGGCTGGATTTCTCTAAATCTTTCAGTGTGAGATTATGGTACTGCAATTAAAAATGAATGTATTTTAGGGGTTTTTACACATCTCAACAAAGATGAATGAATATTTGTCCACAAATATTCACACATGCACAAAAATGAACAAATGATGAGCTACACGTGTCCCTTGCATCAAACATCCACAAAAGTAGGAACTGAATTCTTTTCTGTTCCTCGTCTCTCTTCTAGGCGATTGTCTATGAGGGTCAGGATAAAAATCCAGAGATGTGCCGGGTCCTGTTAACCCACGAGATCATGTGCAGGTAAGCCAAACTCAAACCGAGCTCTTTATTTATGTCACTTCACAACTGAGAGAAAGAAAAAAACAAAGCGCATAGCTAAATTATGATAGAAATCTTATCATTTGCCTCAAAGTGGGTTGGAGAGAGCTGGGCCCTGGCCTATTTCTGTTTTGCGCGTGCATGCATGCGTGTGGATCCCTCTCATGTTCAGCTAATTAGGACAAGGAAAAGCTCATTACTCAAACCCATCCTCCTCAGGTCCCCGCGTAACACTCGGCAGTTTGCCTCGTCCTGACACCGAGCTATGTGCAGACTCAGATTTTGCGTGAAACGCCGCTGCGCACTCGCGCTCGAAAAAAGTCGTGTGCGCCATCGATTACAGGGCGCCACGCAAAAGCCCCGCCGCGGCGTCCCAAAGCGAGCGTCCGGCTCGGAAGAGTTGCGTGTAGAGAGAGCGTCTGGTGGCGGCGCGTGTAGCGGCTTCCTGGTTATCACACGAGGCAATTTGGACCACTTGTTTTCATATGCTGCAGGAAACAGAGGAGATCAGAAATCTGATCTGGCTCTCCAAGCCTGTGGTCCTGAGGGACTGGAGAAAGCATGGAGGGGGGCTTGAGGCGCGGAGGGGGGGGGAGGGTCAGCCTCTCAGTTGTCTTCCTCCTTCTCCTCCCACACACTCCTCCGAGTGGAAGCACACATGTAGTTAGGCGCAGGTAGACACAGACATGCAGACACTCAGACACAGAGGAATAAAGGTAGACGTGGTGATACTTTTTCTTTCAGGGATGGGGTGGGTGGGGGTGGGTTGACGTTACACTGTTACACCGTGCTGCAGTCAAATGATTCTGAGAGGACTCGTCACATCAGTATGCAGCCCCCTTTTTACCCAGCATGCACCGCTCCCCAGGTCCAGTGGGACCACTCTGTGACCCACTTCTGAGAGAGAGAGAAAGAGCACAAAATGAGAGAGAGAGAGAAAGAGAGGGGCGGGATAGAGGGAGGGCGACGAGAGCCGAGGAAAAATAGAGAACATAAGATGTCTGGTTGTGTGATGTCTGACAGAAATGGAGCTAACCTGAGCCCTGGAGGCTAATTCAAGTTTGTATCTAGCCCCGTTGCAGCTCGCTCCCCCTAAACTTTGCCGAAAATCACTCCGCTGATCCACAGAGCGAGCCCCGGTCTTACCGTGAAATCCACATCTCGTCTCCTTTTTTGAACTCCCCAAAAAAGTCTCACGCCCTCTTACTCCCCATTTTCTCTTTCCTGTACCCACAGATGTCTTCCCATCTCCCCTTAGAGTTGTGTCTGTTTTTTTTTTTGTTCTCTCTGTTGTTCACATCTTACTGACTAACTCCCCCCCTCTCCCTGATGTGCCCCCTCTGCTGTTCTGTTGCCCCTCACCTGCAGTCGGTGCTGTGACAAGAAGAGTTGCGGCAACAGGAACGAAACCCCATCAGACCCTGTCATCATCGACAGGTAAGCAAACCTCACCCTTCGAACCCGTGACACGATTCCCTCATCATCACTGCTGGCACAAAACACGGTGCCCAGCGGCGGTACAAGAGCCACGGGGGAAAAACAAATCCACAGTTCCAAAAAGGGCACAAGAATCAAGATTCCAGCAGGTTTTGATGTCCGTTTTCGTCTGCGAGAACTTAAACCTCGCGAGCCTCGTAAAGTGGAGGCCACAGGTTGTTGTTTGTTTTCAGCGACCGTATAATGTTCTGTGTAAGGAAAAAAAAAAAAAGGTGCGAAGCAGCTGTAAATTATATTCCAGGGCTACGAGTGGATGAAGTGCAGGAGCAATCACGCAGCCGTTGAGCTCGGTTTCAAGTGTGGTCAAACAGTGTTTGTGCGGTTGTGCTGATGTCTTAAGAGATGAGCAGTTTGGGTTACAGCTGCAGTCTGGGGGTGAATGCGAGAGTGTGTTGGCTGAAAATTGTTTGCTGCGTTTTGACAATCACACACACACACACACACACACACACACACAAACTGGCCTTAAGTGTGTGCCTTTCTCCTGCTGTCATAAACTAGCTCTGAGCGATGCTGCGGCTTGTGTGATTTAAAGCCAGTCAGGAAAAAAGAAAAGCCCTGTAGATTTACTGTCCAGCCTCTGCTGGAAGTGTGTGTGTGTGTGTGTGTGTGTGTGTGTGTGCGTGTGTGTGTGTGTGTGTGTGTGTGTGCGGAGAACTTGCGTGCTTTTAATGTAAGGTGTTTATTTGGAGTTCATGCATGAAGATTAGAAGGGATAACTTATGAAATTAGATTGTGTAAGAAAGCTATAGGCAGTCAATACGTTACCTTCAGTAAACAACTCCTGGCATCTGCAGATTAGCTTGAGGCTAAGGCTAACAGCAATCACAACCATGTCGAAAACATCACAGCACTCATAAACTTTTAAGCTTCAGTCCTGCTTGCGTCAGGCGGTTATTTGCACAGAAGCTAATATTTATTTACACAAGAACTAGAGGTTGGAGGCAGTGTGAGTGGTAGCGAGAACAAAACATGTAAAAGCACTTCCAGTTAGATTAACTGCCTTATATAAAAGTGAGCCAGTGCTAAGATCCATAAAATGTGTTCTCTGAAACAGTTGCAATACTTTTGCCTTCACACAGTTTATATTTTATATCACACAGCTAATGGACACACATCGGGAGAGCTTCAGTTCCACACGTCAGTCATTAATGCGCGTCAATAAAGACTCTCCTCTGGGGGCATTTGATACGAGTTTAAATTATTTCCAAATATTCAAGGAGCATTTTTTTCTTTTTCTTATCTCTCTGCTCTGAAGCATTTTTAAATACATATTTTCTGACATATTCTTTCAGTAGTTAATTTCCTAAATTATAGAAAACATAGGTCAATTATAGTTGGATAAATGTACTTTATAAATAAAGTTCACCTCCACATGTGTCAGCTGGTGACTTTAACACACATTGGGCGGGATATGTTGAAGTGAAACGAGACGAGATTTCTGGACTGGACATTTCTGAGTGGAACAAGTTTAAAAAAAAGTTTGCTGGTGTTGGGTTAAGAAAAAAAGGGCTTATTTTTATACTTTTGTCATAGATCATCGTTTTTTATTGCTCTTTTCTCTCACTGTAAGCTGTTTAAATGTTAACTTCCCAGAGGAAAAACACTGCCTCTTACCTCCATTCCCCTAGTAAATAATCTCTGGATTTTGTAAATAACCACTCGGTACAAACAGAGTGACAGGATAAAACTTCATAAAAAGATATTTGCATGAACTGCTGTGACAATTTTGAGGTTAGAGTAGTTTTAAGAGAGTGGAAAATCAATCTTGGCCACCGTAAACGTAGAGATTAGCTTGAGCGTCAACAATCAAAACACTTTGATTGTTGCTAACTGAAGGAGCTAAAACAATTATCTACCAAAAAGCTGAAGACAACAGCTGGCTTATGAAACAGTCTTAAAAATGCCAATTTCTAAAACATCACAGTAGTTCATACAGGCATGTTTTCATTGAATATTTAGAGACAAGCTGATCATTTTTTCCCATGGAAATTGATGTAGCAGGAGGCAGTGCCACTTCCTAAGTGAAACTCTTAAGACCAGAATATTACTGTTTTTACCTAAAAGTCCATGTCAAAATCTGTGAATTAGCATTCACACATTTGCTATGGTTATATTCTATGCTGCTTTATATCTATAATAAATTCACTCTGTCCAGATTTACAATACTCAGTCCTTGTTTCATTCAGGAAGATAATTTGTGGTCCACCTTTAGTAAATAGTCATCGTGTTTTCTATGAATAAGCGCCAAAGGGAGGTTTTACAATTTAGAAAGTAGCATCGACATAAACTATTATGTTATCTGTTTGAAACTGGAGTTGTTGTTTTAAGACAGCAGAAAGCCACTTTAGGCTAGCTGTTAGCATCAGCCACCAGGACCAACTAATGCTAAACACAAAGTCATTTAATCTGGTGCACATGTTAAAATCTTATCTACATCAGATAACCATCTGGATATATTCATTCGGTTTAGATGAAGATTAGTTGGTCCAAGAAGCTAAAGATAACAGCCAACCAGAGTGGGACCAAGACCAAACCAAACTCCTACAGTCTCAGAGCAACTTCAATCCTGAAAACATATCAGTACACTGAAGAATCTTAAGTCTTAGCATAAGTATTCACAGCAAAGGAGGATATTATTTACTTGGGGAAGCAGAGTTAGAAGTCAGTGCACCACCATTTATGTGAAGTAAATACAGAGAAAGTTCTTCCAGTAAATGGAGCTATTTCGTAGAAATGTAAATATTTGTGCTGTTCTTTTAAATCTCTTTCCTTTGTATCATCAGTGAAGAGGAACTGATAACAAGAGCGTCATAGTGTGTCAAATTAATTAGCCTGTTGACACCTCAGGAAACACTTCTTCTGTTCTCAGTACATTTATGATGGCAGGCCTCCTAACTCCATTTGAAATGTAAATAGCTGTCCAGTGATTAAGTCACAGCAGTTTTATACCTCACAAAAAAAAATTAAAAAATAAAAATCTTTGATGTTCTGGAGTTTGGAGTAGATTTAACTTTATTTTCTTCTTAGCCGGTTCATATTAGCTGCTATAGCGTTAGCATTGACACAGAACAAATCTGGATGTGTTAAATAAAGTTAGCAGGAGAGCTGTGTACAACGGAGAATCCCTGAAATAATCCCTTCAGGACTGCTCTGAATACATTCCAAAAAGAATCACTGTACAGCGTCCCTGTTTTGTGAGCTGCAACAAGTCTGAGTGTCTACTTTCTGTCTGATTTGAATTTGTCACGTTTGAGTGTTTTTTTTTTTTGTGTGTGTGTTAATGAGGCAGTGACCTGTGCTATCCGATGAACGCAGCTGTCCTGTTCTCGCTGCTGCTCCGTCAAAAGCTACTCTTTACCTGCGTGAGCATATGTGTTTGTGCACAAGTTCTGTGCGTTGTTTTTGTGTACGTGTGTGTGTGTTTGTGTGTGCGTGTGAACGCCACCCTCGTTCTGCTCCATTGAAGCGGAAGGCCTCACCTCAGCGCTCCCTGAGACAGCTGCACCCCACCACGTGGCCTCAGACATACACGCCTTGCCCATCACTCTCTGTCATTTATTTTTGTATTTTTTTTTTTGTTTGTTGATTTTCTTCGTGAGAATACTTGTTGATTTTTTTCGCCCCTCTCTCTCTCTCTCTCTCTCTCTCTCTCTCCACGTTGTCATTTTTTGATTCACCCCGACTCAACTTCTCCTCGGCGAGTTGAGCGGCAAGCGGAGGAGCAGGCAAGCTGAGAAACGGCTTAGCCGCGCCGAGCATGTGTTGTGTTGTGGCGGTATTCCCCTGACGCCCGATGGCTCAGGTGTGAGGGCAGCGTTAACGAACAACAAATTAGAACAGGGGGAGGCAAAACAACAGCAATATCTCAGCTTTCCTCTCCAGCGAGCACTCTTCTTTCTGGACAGGAAAAATAGGTCAGGTGAGTGCAGAGCTTCTGGAGAGGGCGGCATTTTTTTTTTTTTTTGAAAGGAGGGACTGTAGGGGATTAAGTGTGAAGGAGGGGTGGGGGGGACGAATGATACGTTTGCTCATTTAGCACCAATATATTCTTGGCAGTTGTAATAATCAAGGATTCATAAACAAACAAACAACTGCGAGGCTGAAACTACTGACTCAATTACCATGAGCTCCCCTCCTTCAAATTCATAAAGAAATACCATCAGCAGCCCTTCTCCACCCTTGAAGTTATTTAGTTCATTAAATAAGGGCTCGTTAGCCCTCTGCTGTTTCGCAGAGATGATTAGATTTTACAGCCCTAATTAGCCCGGCTAGCTCTAACTCTTCTGGAAGAGTAATGGGTGTGATTGCCTAATTAGCTCCCTCTCGTTAAGTCGGGAGAAACAGGCCACTGCAGCAAAACCGCGGGAACGAGGAAAAATAAAGTCAGCTAATGAGAAACTTATTTGATTGTTAGGAGAACAAATGTGGTGCTGTGTGGAATCCGCGTCGCTCTGGGTACTGTACACGCTCACCGGGAGAATCTCCCCTCCTGATGAAAAAGACAGTTTTGTTTGGGCTTTAAGCTTTTATAGGAAAGTGTGTCTGTTTACTATGTGCTTTGCGGGAAACACTTGTACGTTTGTAGTGTTTTGCTGGAACTGCGAGGAGCATCTGAGCAGCAGGCGCAGACACATCTGTTCGAACATTTGTGCGAAACACCTTGAAAAAACGTATTTTAATGGATCTCACACTGAAAAGCTTTCAAAAATCGAACCTTTTGTTCGATTCTAACAAGTTATGAAATATAATTTTTTTTAATCACTGGTTACTAGAATCCCTTAGAAAACTTTTAGAAAAATGTAACAGAAGTTTTCAGGAACCTCTAATTAGTAATATTTGTTGATATCAATACGTTAATATATGTTGGTGTCATTATGATGTGACATAATCTTGGACAGGGACTCAAATTTATATTTTCAGCACAGACAGTAAGAAGG